GGAAAATTGGTATTTTTTCCATGCTATGTGGACTTTTTTTGTCCAGCCATTTCCAGCATTGCTGGAATAGGCTGGAAATTGGCTGGACATTTGTGGTAAAAGCCTGGAAAACCATGGACTTTACTTCCATGTAGCATGGAAAGTGGAACTTAGATTTTTTTGATGCTGGAAATGTGTTAAACTTTCTCTAAGTATGCTGGAAAAAACTTGTAAAAAATTTACAGAAATCTTACTTTATATATTCAGCACAATATTGTAAACTTACGAAGAAAATATACAATCATCATTTATTTTAATGCAAGTTACTGTAAATGATTTGAAATTTGACACTTTATACTTTTTATGTAGTTGAAAAAGGGTATCTCATAAAAAATGTCTAAGCTAAAGACATAAATGAATTGATTGTTCAAAATACATATTATTATTTAAATAAATCTACATGAAGTTATGTACAATGAAATAATATCCATTTAATTACAGGCTTTAAGTTTAACTATAAATTAATTAAAGTCTGTGATTAAATCATTCAGACACTATAATAATCAAGATGATAGGGATTGCATTGCTTGCCATTTTTAAATTGTAAGAATTCATGTTTTTGGATAACAATAAATAAATAAACAAAAAACAGTGCATGAAAGAATCTCATATATATTCTATATTAAATTGACCAATATTTAGGAAAATAAATACTACATCCACTGAGATTTAACGCTACACAGATCAGAGCTCTGATAAAACTCATTGACCAGCATTTGCTAACCATCTGTGCATGACTAATTTACTCCACTGGTCATTTCAGATCAGGCTGTTCCATGTGATTATTTTGGGGAGAGATAACATTATAAATTTCATATGAAGAATGTGTCTAGAAGGACATTGCAATCTTTTTTGTACAAAAATTTGTAATGATCTTTAAATTCTATATATCAATTAGCTATTTCATATTTTCTTTCACGCTCAAAGAATATAAATTAAAATGATGAGCAGATTAACCCTGCTTTACATAATGATAGACCTGTCCTGAGTAACTGTTGTAAATTTTGAATTCTAAGATATCTGGGTCAGCAAAGAGTGCATTGAAATTACAGAGGATGTACTTGATATTTTAGCAGTTTTGGAGATATTGTTTTGTTTAAGACTTTAAAGTGTTTAAGTATTGGTATGATAACAATAAGAATCACCTGGGAAAAGGAGATATACAACAGAATCAGGTATTTATAAACCTTAAGTTACATCAATGCAGAAACAGGTTATATATCAAACTATCAACATTTGTAACAAGAGATCAAGGTTGTTTTTATATTTTCAACTTCATGCATTTGTTTTTTCTGATAATTGTTTTTAATCTATACATGTATAATCTTTAAAATATAAATTATTCAATGATTTCTTTATAATGTATAATTGTTAAAATGGCAATTGTTAGTAGATCTTTTTCATTTCCTACAAATAAAACAAATTAAATCAATTTGATTAAATAGGACTAAATGGTACAATCAGTAGTTTTGAACAGCTGAACAGGGTCATCATAATCATTTGTTATTTCCATGTATGTGTTGTGTTTTCAATGGAACAATCTAAAATTACATTTTACATTATACAATTACATAACTTGCAGGCTGGGACATAAGTGCTGACTGTGAGAATTACCAACAGTGTTTAATAATGATGTGCAGTATTAATCCTGAAAAGGTATATTTTTAAATCTCAATACGACTGTACTTTTTTATTCCATGTCTTTTCTTGAAAAAATAAATACTGGGTGATAAATATTGTCACAAATTTACTTAATTCTTATACATGTACAGAGAAATTCTTAAACACTTGTGCACTTTGAAATAAGATATACTGCATGCTTTAGTATTTTTGAATATGCATAAGCATAGTTAATATTTAATAGTTAATACATTTGAAACATTAGATTTGATGTTATTAAAAGATACCAAATATAACTGCAAAATATTTATATGCAATAAAACATAAGTCATTACCACATCTGTGTTAAATTTATTATGAATTTTATCTTTAAAGGTGAGCACAACCACAAGAAGTTCTAGGAAACATAGGTAGAGGACTGAAAATGGACATCAATATAAGAAATAGTAATTTAAATAATCAGAAACACTTGAAACAAATCTAAGATTAAAACAGTTTATCATTGACAGATTAAGAGCAAAATAATTGCTAAAATTTATAAGACAACCAGAACCTAGCTATCAAACCTGCAGCTAGAAAAATAACTGTTTGTGCTATAATGAATGTAGGATGTTCTATTCTGTATTTGGACTAAAGGATATGTATTAAATTTTGTGAAAGAAATATGTGATCATGTTAAACTAATAAAAATTCCACCCCAAACATTCCTGTGCTGAATTTCTTCAGAGAATTTTAAATTTTAAGAACATTCAGGGATGCTGGAATTAGGCTGGATTTTTTTCCATGTTATTCCATCAAGGCTGGACTATTTACCATGGTAAAAAGTCCAGCCTCTATGGTTGGCAGACACATGGAATACCCTGGAAAAAAATCCATACTTTTGTTCCAATACTCCATGTACATGGAAAAGCATGGAATAAAGTCCATGCTTTTCCATGGAAAACATGGAAAATGTTCCATGCAGCATGGAAAATGTTCCATGTTTTTTCCCTGTTTTTCCAGCACATTTTTTCTCAGCTTCAGGCTGGAAAAGGCTGGAAAATTTTGTTCCAATACTCCAGCCTCTTATTTTCCATGGAAATCCCTGGAAAAGCATGGACTTTTTACACCCGGGTAATCTTAAAGATACATTATGTGCAAATTTTATATGAGAAAAATTAATATTTATTATTAAATTGCATTACAGTTTTCTTTGTAATATTAAATAATCATGTTTTTAACTTCACACAGAGTGTATACAATAACATGTATGTTATATTATTTCAAATTCTTCACACTTCAGGTGGTGACAATACAATATATAGTATCATTAAAAAAACTGGCAGTTTTTTAAGAAAAGACCAACTTTACTTGACCTGTAATAGGGAATGTAGCTTACCATACATAGTTTATTCATTCTTTAATTCAAATAAGACAAATTCATTAAGAATTTCATAGATTTTATTGAATTTCTGTGATTAAAATATCTAACTCAAGGATATTTAGCATAGTGTAACTGTTTATGTTTAACATTTTACAATCCAGTCAGATCGACACAATGATTGTTAAAATCTTTGCTGCACTCAATTTCTTAAGATATTTCAAATATCTTTAATTGACTAGTCCATCTTTCAATCTGGTTGAAACTATTTATTTCTTTTAGAATAAGAACTGAGAGAAAACTGTGCAGATCAGGATCTGACAGCACCAGATGTGCCGTGAGGCACCTCCGTGGATGCTTAAATCAAAATTTTGAAATTTGAAATTTTTTGAAACATTATTTGAATCATAACTACAAAATATACAATCAAAATGAAATAACACCTGCAGTCATGCAATTGAAATTTGATGTAAAATATTTGATTTATCAAATTAAATTTAGTTATTTAATTTACACATGAATGACTTAAAAGCTGAAAATCATACTGTATATGATATGTTATTATTCACTTGATCATTTGATCTGGTTTTTTGTGTGTATATTTTGAAATTTATATAATTGTTTATTATACTTAGTCTTAGGCATGCTGCTTAACAATGAGTGTCTAAATTTAGATTTTATTTTTTCATAAAGGTCATTTAGTGTACTGATTTTTCTTGCTGCTCCAACAAGTTCTTTAGAACTTTTAGAAGAGATCTGAAATATTCAAAATTGATTAATTTAAATTTAGATTTATTAGTAATCTATCACGCCATATAAAACTGTCCAAGGATCATCTTGGTACACTTTAGTTAGTATTGACATTACTATTCACTCAAGTGTGTATAGACGATAGAAGTCCAAAAATACCCACACTATTTATAGCTCGAGCTAATTTTCTAATAAATCAATAAGTCACGAAAATTTATTGAAATGAAATAGGATCAGAAATTTGCTCTACTTTTTTTGTCATATTTGTTTAAGAGAGTGTTTTACAGTGTGGAATAGTTATTTATAATAGCGATGGTCCAATATCTAAAGAGATTTTAGCCTTCGTAAATTTTATTCTTAAATTTATAGTGGATTGTTTATTAGACATGTTAATTTATTGAGAACAAAATTTAAGGCTGCTAATATATTTTCATCATGTATCGACGAATGTACAGACAAACTGATAAGGGTACGTTTTTTTTTGTTTTAGAAATATGTTATCTGCATTGTTATGCATGTTGTAGACTGTGCCATTGATTTGTCTTGATTTTTTTTGTCAAACAATTCATGATTTACATGTTTCAGTTTTATCTGTTAAGTCCAGAGGTTCTTTTTTTATACAGGGAGATTTAGCAGTTGGATAAATCTAGTGTTGGTTTTTTATTCACGGGTATATTTCAGTGCAGATTTGACTGAGTGTGAAATAGGTTTTAAACTTTACTTTTTCTAATATATTTTCATCATGTATCGACGAATGTACAGACAAACTGATAAGGGTACGTTTTTTGTTTTAGAAATATGTTATCTGCATTGTTATGCATGTTGTAGACTGTGCCATGATCTGTCTTGATTTTTTTTGTCAAACAATTCATGATTTACATGTTTCAGTTTTATCTGTTAAGTCCAGAGGTTCTTTTTTTATACATGGAGATTTAGCAGTTGGATAAATCTAGTGTTGGTTTTTTATTCACGGGTATATTTCAGTGCAGATTTGACTGAGTGTGAAATAGGTTTTAAACTTTACTTTTTCCTTCAAGTTAAGTTATTTCATTTTATTTTATTTTTTCTTCAAACAATTTTATACGCCTGTATGAAAAACGTCGTATTCTTTTAAAATTAATATTAAGACAAGCAGTTGATAATGAATGAATGGTTTTGTAACTCACATTGCTAAGATTTAAGACTATGGTATAAATACTGATTATTACGGTATTATTATTGTTGTTTTCAGCAGACGGTCAGATGTCAGGAAGTCAACAACAGAGTAAACCAGTCTCTACAACACCTGTTACCATGGCAACAGACAAGATTGAGGCAGTTGTCTGTGATGCTGACGAGCTCAAGTCAGGAGAGTACGTATAAATTTGCATTATTAGGTTTTGAAGCGCCCCTATATTTAAATGAGAATCTTGCCTTGCTTTGATTTTTTAACTGTTCTGTTAAACCCTTATCCTGCTTAAATTTTATAATGGACTTGTCCTGCTTCTATTTAGAACTGAATCATTTTCAATTTTGGGGATATCAAGATCAAAACTTTAAAGTTTGTTAACCAACAGTATAGGTTCAGACTGTATGAATTGTAATTTCACTACAGAGGGCCACTCTGCAGTGGTTCCACTGTAACTCCAATATTTACCAAATAGATAGTTTTTTTAACAAATATCTGCATGACATTCTATTTGTTGGAGGTTTGCTTCACAGAAGGGGGTAATATGTTCACAACCCTTACTTGCCTGAGGACTTAAAACTGCCTGTATAATCATATCACTGAAAAACTGTACATGCCTACACTGAACCAAATCAGCGGAGTACAATTTTCATGTCTTTATGTGCTATTTATTGATGGACTACTTTTTATGTAGGATGAAGGAGGTAGATGTGGGCGGGGCTGGAACTGCGTTACTAGTTAGAGACGGGGCAGATTACTACGCCATTGGTCCCAAATGTTCACATTATGGTGCTCCACTGTCGAAAGGTAATGTTCTGTTTATATTTGAATTTCACAGTTAGTTTTAACTATGTTAAATTAAACTGCTCACAGTGATAGAATATTATGGTATCAGAATTTAGCTTAACTTCTGAGAGAAATAATTTCTAACAAAGTTTGTTAACTCTGACTGGCATTTTGACAGAATTCTGGGCCTTTTTAGAAAATATGAAAAATTATTTTTGATTCAGTTTCCTTTGAATATCAAATGCAGAAGAGCAGGTGCACTAAATTTTGTTCTAGTTGTATTAATCACTTGTTTCAGTAAAATAAACAAATTTGAGGATACAATATATATTTATTTTGTATAAAAAAACAACAACACATTTTATGATTAAATTAACAACACTTTATTTTTGATGATTGGATTACCAACACTTTATTTTTGATAATTTTATTCTATTGGTTAATGAAATATATAAATTTAACTTTATTTAACAATGTGTTATGATAGTAAATAACATTTTTTGTGTGATTTCAGGTGTATTATGTAATGGAAGAGTTCGCTGCCCCTGGCATGGAGCTTGTTTTAATGTTAAGACAGGGGATATAGAGGAATTTCCAGGACTGGATAGTGTCCCTTCATTTAAGGTGAAACTTTTTAAGAATTTTTCTCACCCTTAAAGGCACATTATGCCTTAAAAAATACTTATGAATTTTTCCTTCTTTATAAATGACAACATAAGTTTTGAAACATTAAAATATTATGTTAAGAGCATGTTAAATGTTTATAACCTGAAGATTTTAGTGCTAAATGTGACATTATTTGTGATTGAGGTGGCAAAATGTAGACATTGTAGTATTTTGACTTCCATACAAAATACTAGATCCTATATCTGTATTAAATGTCAGAAATACAGAAGCAATAGATGGTTCAGATTATTGGACAGTGAGTAACTGTTTGGAAACAATAACAGGATGCACAAAATAAAAACATTTTAAAAACAAAAATAAAAACATACTTGGGCTTAATGGGACTTTAACATGTTGGAACAGAAAGTGATTTGCCTTTGTCATCAATATAGAGCCAGGCCAGCCTGCATATCTGTGTAGTCTACTTAGGCTTTATATTGCGGGTTGATACACTTCACATTTTCATCTTGATGTCCCCAAAGTTGATCATGGACAGCTTTAAAATTTGAAACTAGGTAAGTCTATTTTTAGAAATATAGCAGGTCAAGGGTTAATTCCTTTGATTTCTGTGTTCTCGTAGGTTGAAGTTTCCGATGGTAAAGTTAAGATCCATGCAGACAAAGCAGCGCTCGCCAACACGAAATATCAGAAGTCGATGTGTAAAGCAGCGCCGGGAAACAAGAATGTTGTGATAATCGGAGGGGGACCAGCCTCCGTGGCATGTGTCGAGACCCTCCGACAAGAGGGATTCCAGGGAGATATCACAATCTGTACCAAGGATAAATACATTCCATATGATAGAATCAAATTGAGTAAGGTGGGTATCATTTGTTTTGTAATTCTTTTGTCTTTTACATTTAAATTTCTTGTTTTTATAAAGTTCTGTGCAAAAAAATATTGTTTTCATTGTTTTCTCTCAGAAATTTATCATACATGTATAATAAGCACTATGTGAGTGCCAAGTGACACTCATGAGTTTATATTTTGGATATGTTTTTAAAAGTAAACAACAAAAATACATCTATGCTCTGTTTTAAAACAGTCAATTTAACTTTTTTTTTAAACAGTAAGTTCTTATTAATTTTGAAAGGTATTTATTTAGAAATTTATTTGTCTTGAAGAAGGCAGCTACTTACTCTAACATATTTTAAAACCAATATATAGACATTAAAGCTGCACGCCTCCAGATGACCCAAAATATTTCAATAAAATCAAGCATGAGAAAAATGTACTAAGATTTTAGAAAAAGTAAAAAAATTCAAGCTTTAAGTAATAATTGCCATGTTATGTCCAAATAATGGCTGATTTTTCAGTAATTACATAAATATTTCTACTGTGTTACTAATGCAGTAAGGGCTATTTTTACATATTTAGACTTCTTTTTGGTAATAAACATGGAATACAAGTGACATTGATAATGTGCAAATTGCTTACTTTTGGTTACTTCACATTTTTATACTTTATAATTAATGTTCAAATTTTTCATGAAAATCAACATGAATCTGGAGGTGTGCTGCTTTAATTGCTGGCTATATATATAGGAAAAAAATGAAACAAACGCATCAGACCTATGATTTATGGATTTGGATGCAGACGTGTAAACCACTTCTTATTGTCATGTTTTTAATTTATTACAGGCAATGGACATTAAACCAGATGCAATCGCATTAAGAAATGCTGACTTCTACAAATCAAATGACATCACAGTAAAAACTGATTGTGAGGTAATAACATTTGGTAGTTGTGTATTTCTACTGTCTATTGTTTGAATACATTATATTAAAATAAGTGAACATATTACAATGCAGAATTGATGTTCAGTAAGTTACCAATATTGATTCAAGGCATTTGGTTTTCTGTATCAAGGAAATTAAGGAGCACCTTGGTGACCTCGGTGGTAATGGTTGCTTATTTTTAATCTGTTGCCCATTATATCTGGGTTTGGGGCACCTGAGGTCCTCCTCCACCAGTAAAGCTGGAACGGCGCCAAATGACCTATACTGTGTCGGTGTGAAGTAAAACCCAATCAAAAAAAAAAAATATCTGGGTTTGAATTCCATCAGGGGTGTGAATCTTATTTTAGAAAAATTCTGTCTAATAGGCATAAAGAAAGATAGTGATTTTTGGCAGATGCCTGCTTTTGCCTAATTGAATGTATGGAAGGACACTTTAGACAAAAGTTCTTATTCAGGAATGTCTAACAGAAACTAATTGACATAAAAAATGTTTGTCTGTTTGAAACATACGGTAACTCAAATAGAAAAATTCAATGTATGCGATTTAAATACTGTAAAAAATCTGTTGACCCCAACATAATAAATAAACATACAATGTACATAATTTCTTGTATTTAAGGTGAAGTCAGTTGATACGTCCAATAAAAGTGTTAGTTTTGTTGATGGCAGTTCTTCTAAATACGACACATTAATGATTGCAACTGGGGGACAGTAAGTATATGTTTTTATGCTCCCCGAAAAATTTCGGGGGAGCATATAGTCGTCGGGTTGTCCGTCCGTCCGTACGTATGTACATCCCAAATTCGTGTCCGGCCCATAACTTTGTTATTTGAAGTCGGATTTTAAAACTATTTCACAGAAATGATCACCATATTGAGACGACGTGTCGCGTGCAACATTTTGGTCACTACCTTGAAGGTCAAGGTCACAGCATGACCTTGCAGCAAAATCGTGTCCAGCCCATTACCTAGTTATTTGAAGTCGGATTTTAAAACTTTTTCACAGAAATGATCACCATATTGAGACGACTTGTCGCGCGCAACATCTGGGTGGCTTCCATGAAGGTCAAGGTCACAGCATGACCTTGCAGCAAAATCGTGTCCGGTCCATAACATCATTATTTGAAGTCGGATCACAGAAATGATCACCATATTGAGACGACGTGTCGCGCACAAGATTTGGGTCGCTACCTTGAAGGTCAAGGTCACAGCATGACCTTGCAGCAAAATCGTGTCCGGTCCATAACTTTGTTATTTGAAGTCGGATTTTAAAAATATTTCACAGAAATGATCACCATATTGAGACGATGTGTCGCACGCAACATCTGGGTCACTTCCTTGAAGGTCAAGGTCACAGCATGACCTTGCAGCAAAATCGTGTACGGCCCATAACTTCCTTATTTGAAGTCAGATTTTTAAACTATTTCACAGAAATGATAGCCATATTAAAATGGCATGTCGAGCGCAACATTTGGTTCGCTACCTTGAAGGCCAAGGACACAGCATGACCTTGCAGCAAAATCGTGTCCGGCACATAACTTCATTATTTGAAGTCGGATTTTACAACTATTTCACAGAAATGATCACCACAATGAGACATTGTGTCCCGCACAACATTTGGGTCGCTACCTTGAAGGTCAAGGTCAAGGCATGACCTTGCAGCAAAATCGTGTCCGGCCCATAACTTTGTTACTGGAAGTCGGATATAACAACTATTTCACAGAGATGATCACCATATTGAATTGACGTGCCGCATGCAACATTTGGGTCCCTACCTTGAAGGTCAAGGTCACAGCATGACCTTGCAGCAAAACCATGTCCGGCGCATTACTTCGATATTTGAAGTCGGATTTTACAACTATTTCACAAAAATGATCACCATATTGAGACAATGTGTTGTGCACAATATTTGGGTTGTTTTAACACTTTGAACTTTGTCTGTGGCATAACTCTGACACAACAAGAGGTATACCTTTCTGTGTCCAAAACCTATTCGGGGAGCATCACCCGGTTCAACCGGCTCTTGTTTTTTTTCTGAAATATATGTAATGATAAAATATTTTACTCTTTAGACTTTAACCTTTAACCTGCTTGAACTAAATGTGATAAGGCAATACGACCAGTATAGAGCCAGCTTGCCTGCTCTTTTGTGAGGTCTGGAACGGCTCTGTACTGTTGGTAGCTCAGTTTTTTATTCCATCGGCAGGGGGATATTGTTTTGGTATTGTCTGTCCTTCCTCCAGTCCGTCCATCCATCCGTCCGAATTTTGTTTTCGCACTATTTCTCTGCAACTACTGATTGTAATTCAACCAAACTTTATGGGAACCAACAATTCGAAGAGAAGTGCATATATCTTCGCCTTGTTCTGGTCAGACCCTTCATAAGAGTATTAGCCCTTGATTAGTTATGCAGTATGGATATAGAGCAATAATCGTTTAAATGCTATTTTCTGCAACTACTGGCTGGAATTCAAAGTTGTGTCCCTTGCATGCAGATTAGATATTCTGTTTAGAGATATAAAATGTTGCAAACTTTTGAGTCAAAACGATGTAATTTATTGAAAAGAAAGCTACAAGATTTATAACATACACTGTTACACATGCTGTTGTTGCGACTGTGTAAAAATGGAATGTATTGCTTGGCCATTTATATATTTTAAGGTAACATCATTTAAGTTAAACAAACATAGTTTAAGGACACACTAAAAGCTTGCTTCACACTATAAGCGTGCCATTGAAAAATGATTTTATTTTACTATAATAAGTTCTTATTTCATGTATACACTATAAATAGAATGTTGTGTTTGTGATGGTTTAAAATTTTTGAATAAAACCACATCATGCTTGCCAAAGGCTAACACAATATAATTTTATTCTTAGTGATGTGTTGTAATTAAATCATATACACTCACTTTACTTTATTTCAGACCTCGTGTTTTACCTATCCCAGGTGTGGATTTACAAAATGTGTTCAGTTTACGAACACCAGATGATGCTAACAAAATTGCGGAGGCTGCCAACGGAAAAAATGTAGTGATAATTGGGTCCTCTTTTATTGGTCAGTATTTTATTTTTGAGTTACATTGTCTGTAGGGTTATAGAAAATTGTTATTATAGGATGTAAAGATGGGCAGGGATGTGCTTTTATTGCCTTAAAGCATAAATGGTCAGTGAACAGATGAAAATAAAAATAACTTGACATTTTGCTGTTAGCATGTCTAATTTTATATTTTACTGTTAAATAATAATCATTACTATTCATATTTGCTGTATGAAAAAAACTTTGTTTTAGGGCAAGAGCTCATTTTTTAACACATAAATAAAGTAACTAAGTTTCATGACTTTGAATCACTTGCCCCTTACCAATGTGGGTTTGAATTTTTCAAGGGGGTTTGGATTCTTTTATTTGAGTAAGCTATCCAGCATAAAGTAAACGTGTGGGTTCTGCTCCTCTGCTTAGATTACTTAGTCTTACAAAGGCACAACTTTAGGTGTCTAGCTAGCAGATTTACACATGTTTTCTGAAATGGGTTAATATTTGTATGGGTATTGAGAGTGTGGGGGGGGGGGGGGGGGCTGAAGGAGGAGGATGGAAGTTATTGTTCTTCCTACAGATTAGGGAACAAATGTTATCTATCATTTCTCACTAACACAATCATAGGCTATTAATTTTTGTTTTTGCTCAAACTCATAGCTTATTTTTGTATCACCCCAAGAGTTTGCACTTTATATTTAAAATTTAAACCTCATTATATTTGGGGCTTCTTTGGCTAAATTGATAATATTAATGACTTCATATCACTTGTCTAACATTGGGGGATGATTGCTGTGAATTTAAGTCATGGACTTCATACAGTTGAGGAAGCAGTCCAGCCAGCTTTTAGAAGAATGGTATGAAGAGGTATGTGCAGTCTTCCTCAATTATTGAAGGGGCATCTGCAGTCTTCCTCAAATATAGAAGGGGCATCTGCAGTCTTCCTCAAATATAGAAGGGGCATCTGCAGTCTTCCTCAATATAGAAGGGGCATCTGCAGTCTTCCTTAATTATTGAAGGGGCATCTGCAGTCTTCCTCAATTATTTATAAGGCACCTGCAGTCTTCCTCAGTTATTGAAGAGGCACCTGCAGTCTTCCCCAATTATTGAAGAGGCATCTGCAGTCTTCCTCAAATATAGAAGGGGCATCTGCAGTCTTCCTTAATTATTGAAGGGGCATCTGCAGTCTTCCTCAATTATTTATAAGGCACCTGCAGTCTTCCTCAATTATTGAAGGGGCATCTGCAATCTACCTCAATTATTGAAGGGTATTCTGCAGTCTTCCTCAATTATTGAAGGGGCATCTGCAACCTTCAGCAATTATTGAAGGGGCATCTGCAACCTTCAGGCAATTATTGAAGGGGCATCTGCAGTCTAACCTCAATTATTGAAGGGACATCTGCAGTCTACCTCAATTATTGAAGGGTCATCTGCAGTCTTCCTCAATTATTGAAGGGTCATCTGCAGTCTACCTCAATTATTGAAGGGTCATCTGCAGTCTTACTCAATTATTGAAGGAGCATCTGCGTCTTCCTCAGTTATTGAAGGGAAATCTGCAGTCTTCCTCAATAACTGAAGGGTCATCTGCAATCTACCTCAATTATTGAAGGGTCATCTGCAGTCTTTCTCAATTATTGAAGGGTCATCTGTTGTCTTCCTCAATTATTGAAGGGGCATCTGCAGTCTTCCTCAGTTATTGAAGGGGCATCTGCAATCTTCCTCAATTATTGAAGTGGCATCTACAGTCTTCCTCAATAATTGAAGGGTCATCTGCAGTCTACCTCGATTATTGAAAGGGCATCTGCAATCTTCCTCAATTATTGAAGGGGCATCTGCAGTCTTCCTCAATTATTGAAGGGTCCTCTGCAGTCTTCCTCAATTAATGAAGGGGCATCTGCAGTCTTTCTCAATCAATGAAGGGACCTCTGCAGTCAATTATTGAAGGGGCATCTACAATCTTTCTCAATTAATGAAGGGACCTCTGCTGTCAATTATTGAAGGGGCATCTACAATCTTTCTCAATTATTGAAGGGACCTCTGCAGTCAATAATTGAAGGGGCATCTACAATCTTTCTCAATTAATGAAGGGACCTCTGCAGTCAATTATTGAAGGGGCATCTACAATCTTTCTCAATTATTGAACGGACCTCTGCAGTCAATTATTGAAGGGGCATCTACAATCTTCATCAATTAATGAAGGGACCTCTGCAGTCAATTATTGAAGGGGCATCTACAATCTTTCTCAATTATTGAACGGACCTCTGCAATCTTCCTCAATTATTGAAGGGACCTCTGCAGTCTACCTCATTTATTGAAGGGGCATCTACAGTCTTTCTCAATTAATGAAGGGACCTCTGCAGTCAATTATTGAAGGGACATCTACAATCTTTCTCAGTTATTGAAGGGACCTCTGCAGTCTTCATCAATTAATGAAGGGACCTCTGCAGTCAATTATTGAAGGGGCATCTACAATCTTTCTCAATTATTGAACGGACCTCTGCAATCTTCCTCAATTATTGAAGGGACTTCTGCAGTCTACCTCATTTATTGAAGGGGCATCTACAGTCTTCCACCCTCTTCCTCAATTATTGAAGAGGCATGTGCTGTCTTCCTCAATTAATGAAGGGGCATCTACAGTCTTCTGGCATCTGCAGTCTTCCTCAATTAATGAAGGGACCTCTGCAGTTTTCTCAATTATTGAAGGGACCTCAGCAGTGTTCCTCAATTAATGAAGGGACCTCTGCAGTTTTCTCAATTATTGAAGGGACCTCTGCAGTCTTCCTCAATTATTGAAGAGGCATCTGCAGTCTTCCTTAATTATTGAAGGGACCTCTACAGTCTTCCTTAATTATTGAAGAGGCATGTGCAGTCTTCTTTAATTATTGAAGGGGCCTCTACAGTCTTCCAGACCTCTGCAGTCTTCCTCAATTAATGAAGGGACCTCTGCAGTCTTTCTGAATTATTGAAGAGGCATCTGCAGTCTTCTTCAATTATTGAAGGGACCTTTGCAGTCTTCCTCAATTATTGAAGAGGCATGTGCAGTCTTCCCCAATTATTGAAAAGACCTCTGCAGTCTTCCTCAATGAAGGGGCATCTACAGTCTTCCTCATTTATTAAAGGGACATCTGCTGTCTACCTAAATTAATGAAGGGGCATCTACAGTCTTCCTCAATTATTGAAGGGACATCTGCAGTCTTCCTCAATTATTGAAGGGACATCTGCTGTCTACCTCAATTAATGAAGGGGCATCTAAAGTCTTCTGGACCTTTGCAGTCTTCCTCAATTAATGAAGGGACCTCTGCAGTCTTCCTCAATTATTAAGGAGGCATCTGCAGTCTTGGACATCTGCAATCTACCTCAATTATTGAAGGGACATCTGCTGTCTACCTCAATTAATGAAGGGGCATCTACAGTCTTCCGGACCTTTGCAATCTTCCTCAATTAATGAAGGGACCTCTGCAGTCAATTATTGAAGAGGCATCTGCAGCCTTCCTCAATTTTTGAAGGGACCTCTGCAGTCTTCCTCAATTATTGAAGAGACATCTGCAGTCTTTCTTAATTATTGAAGGGACATCTGCTGTCTACCTCAATTATTGATGGGACATCTGTTGTCTACTTCAATTATTGAAGGGGCATCTACAGTCTTCCGGACCTTTGCAATCTTCCTCAATTAATAAAGGGACCTCTGCAGTCAATTATTGAAGAGGCATCTGCAGCCTTCCTCAATTATTGAAGGGACCTCTGCAGTTTTCCTCAATTATTGAAGAGGCATCTGCAGTCTTTCTTAATTATTGAAGGGACATCTGCTGTCTACCTCAATTATTGAAGGGGCTTCTGCAGTCTTCCTCAATTATTGAAGGGACATCTGCTGTCTACCTCAATTATTGAAGGGGCTTCTGCAATCTTTCTCAATTATTGAAGGGACATCTGCTGTCTACCTCAATTATTGAAGAGGCATCTGCAATCTACCTCAATTATTGAAGGGACATCTGCTGTCTATCTCAATTATTGAAGAGGCATCTGCAGTCTTCCTCAATTATTGAAGGGACATCTGTTGTCTACTTCAATTATTGAAGAGGCATCTGCAGACTTTCTCAATTAATAAAGGGACCTCTGCAGTCAATTATTGAAGAGGCATCTGCAGTCTTCCTCAATAATGAAGGGACCTCTGCAGTCTTCCTCAATTATTAAGGAGGCATCTGCAGTCTTGGACATCTGCAATCTACCTCAATTATTGAAGGGACATCTGCTGTCTACCTCAATTAATGAAGGGGCATCTACAGTCTTCCGGACCTTTGCAATCTTCCTCAATTATGAAGGGACCTCTGCAGTCAATTATTGAAGAGGCATCTGCAGCCTTCCTCAATTTTTTGAAGGACCTCTGCAGTCTTCCTCAATTATTGAAGAGACATCTGCAGTCCTTTCTCAATTATTGAAGGGACATCTGCTGTCTACCTCAATTATTGAAGGGGCTTCTGCAGTCTTCCTCAATTATTGAAGGGACATCTGCTGTCTACCTCAATTATTGAAGGGGCTTCTGCAATCTTTCTCAATTATTGAAGGACATCTGCTGTCTACCTCAATTATTGAAGAGGCATCTGCAATCTACCTCAATTATTGAAGGGACATCTGCTGTCTACCTCAATTATTGAAGAGGCATCTGCAGTCTTCCTCAATTATTGAAGGGACATCTGTTGTCTACCTCAATTATTGAAGAGGCATCTGCAGACTTTCTCAATTAATAAAGGGACCTCTGCAGTCAATTATTGAAGAGGCATCTGCAGTCTTCCTCAATTATTGAAGGGACATGTGCTGTCTATCTCAATTATTGAAGAGGCATCTGCAGTTTTCCTCAATTATTGCAGTCTTCCTCAATTATTGAAGGGACATCGGCTGTCTACCTCAATTATTGAAGAGGCATCTGCAGTCTTAATCAATAATGAAGGGACCTCTGCTGTCTACCTCAATTATTGAAGGGGCTTCTGCATTTATTCAAGGTTAATGATTTCACTGCAGATAGAAATTGACTTGAAAGAAATTCCACGCACCTTATCATCCTAACCAAAACAAATAATTGCCATCAGCTTTATTGTATATTCTTTTGTATTGTTTTTGTTTAGCTTAACATAAGCTTACTTAAGCTTAATAGAAGCTTTATAACCAAGCTATATAATACACTTAATATAAGCATTTCAGGAGTGACTTCTGGGTAATGAATTTCACAATATATGTAAATGATTCATAATGTACACTTAGATTTTATCAGCTTCAGTCACAATATTATCGGCACTATTCTAGGTATGGAAGTGGCAGCTTATCTGGCCGACAAGGCTAAAACCCTGTCTGTTGTTGATATAATTAAAGTCCCATTCCAACTTGCTCTTGGAGAAAAAGTGGGCGGAGTGTTACAAAAGGTACCAATCTACAGTTATGTCCCCTTATTTCTGAGTCCAAGGTTTTCAAAAAAAAGATCTGACGACCAGTCTGAAACTAATTAGAGCATGCAGTCTGCTCATTTTCATATGAAATATAATAGAAAATTACATTAATAATTTTTCCTTTTTATAGACTGCTCAAAGGGTGACTGTGTACTGAATGGAAAAAAACTGGTTTTCATTGGTCAATTCTAATAAACAATCCAAAATTAACCAATGACGGAGTATATAACATTTGGTGAAGGCTTTCATTGGTTGATTTTGAAATTTGAAGTTTTAAATGGCCCAATGGCAGTGCTTATTATATTTGGAGCAGGATTTTAGTGATTGATTTAAATTTTCAATATTAGAAATTGACCAATGACAGACTGTGTAACATATGGAGACTGGTTGTCACATCTCAAGTTGGATTTTATAACCTTGGATTTTGGTATATGGATGCCAGTACTCCATCGCTTTAGACTGCTTATTAGTTATTTGCTTTCAGCATCACAGCTTTAGTTGCTAACACACAATACACAGTTATATAATAATGTAACATGTCTGATTCTGTTTCTACAGAGTTTGTAGGTTTGCTTTTTTATGTTCACGTAAAATTCTCATATGAGCATAATTATAGTTTCTGATTTGATCAGGACTTCACCTTTCATACAGTTTCTTAAAGCACAATTATTTAAGGGCTGTTTTACATTTCATGGAATTTTATCGCTGGATAGAGTTTCTGGTTGATTTTAGGTTGGTGTCTCGTACTGGTTGGTTCCAGGAACAGTTCCAGTGTGTGTCTATATATTCACTCATCCATGGACACCACACATATGATCCTATTCCTAACCCTGCTATATCTATCTAATGGACTTGTCTTGCATTGAATCTGGGACAGTCCATTGTTAATTGTAGGGAATATCAAAATGCTAAAAAAAAGCAGCCAGCAGCAAAGAGTTCTGTCGTGCTACACCATGCTACATGGATGTGCACCCTTCAGGCCTGGATCTTTACTAGTGCCTTTGGCAGTGGTCCTGATTGGAGCTAGCATTTAACTCTTAACCTGCTTGGACTTCTAAGTGAGGATCGAGCTCTGGCCACCAGTTTAGAGCCAGGCAAGCCTGCGCTTCTGTACAGTACTGACCAGGCTCTATACTGTAAAAGGCTAGCATTTAAAAAGTTAGACAAGAACTATGTGGAGTAAATGTTAATTTGATATATCTGTAGGGCTAGAAGTGGCTTCGTATATGTCTGCAAAAGCGAGCAATGTTCATGTTTTGTGTCGCACTGATTGCCCGTTAGAGAATATATTCGGAAAAAAAGTTGGGCAAGTATTTAAAAAGGTATTGTTTTGGATTGATATATTAGAGTTTTATTTATGGTAGCATATAGAAGATTTATTAGTACAGTTATATTTTCTTTGCACCCTTTGTTTTTCTGGCATATGAGATTATTATTTACAGTCAGTACAGTGTATAATTATATCTTTCTGCCGAAAAAAAACCCACTTCTTAAGAAGCCTGTGTGACTATGCATATAGACTTAGGGTTTAAAAACTTTTAAATCCAAACCTTGCAATAGACTTACTCAGGAACTAAGCATATTTTCAGTTGCTTCAGCTAGTTAACGGGGACAAACAAATTTTAATAGTTACAACTTCAAAAATGAGTGCAGCAGTGTAGTGCATAGTGGAGCCATAGCCGTAAATGTGAAACTATAGCCATAAAAGTTTGTTTGTTCCAGGGGATTGGCTTGGAAAAAGCCACATTTGCTTAGTTCTGGATAACAATTTTTGGGTTTAAAACTGTTTAAAGGATTAAGTGTACTCATTTACATGTTCATGCTGCATGTTAATTACTTGCAAACGTAATCCTTCATGAGGCCAGAATTTTACAGTTGAGCTTTGCATGATTCTGAAGTGTTTACATTGTTTGACAAATAGCATTTATATAAAACCACTCATGCTAGACTAGCCAGATTTTAAGTGTTCTTATTCCAAGTAACATTGCATGTTAGTTTAAATTGGAAGGCATAGATGTAATAGTAAGATATCTGTACCCAAACCTCAATTTAGAAACAACCCTTGTGTAAGGGAGAAAAAGCAAGAAATTTTGCATTATATTTTACAAGAAGTATTTATAAATTCAGTGTTAATTCACTCTTTATTGTTTATACTGTAATTTTAATTACATGTATATATAGATGTATTTGATTGAAAAAAAAATCTGCTGTAAAAGTTTTCGTTTACAAGGGTTGTCTCTATCTCGGGTTTTGTTGTACAAGTTATTTTACACTTTATAGTGTAGAGTTCTTTTACATAAGTGAGCGTTTCAATGAAATAAGCCTTCTCAATGCAAATTATATTTGGGAAAAAAGATTAGATCAATGTTCCCTGAATGTGTAGCTTACTCTCCTTTTACCTTGCAACCTCCCCCAAATGTAAACAGGTCTAGAAGAAACATGTTTTTAACTTTTTATTTTAAAGAAAGGTATGAGCAGGGCATAAAAAACTCTTGTAAATGATAGCACAGAAACAATTTTTAATTAAATATTTATGAATATATTTTTTTCAAAAAGCAATATCTCACTAAACATTTAAGTTTGTGAATATTTAAGCAAATTTTTTTTTACATACATTATTCATAAAAAATCAATGTTTAAACAAGAATTTAATCCTTAACATAAACTAATTTTAGAGGAAAACATGGAAATGTTGGAACAAATTTAAAACTTTGTTTATCATCTATTAGATTAATGGGTATTCACTACCATTTTTCAAGGTTAAAGATAAACACATTTTGTCTCTGTAGTAAATTAAATCAGTGTGACATTATTTTAATGTTTTTCAAAATATCGAACCAATTTGTCCTATGCATGAAATACTTATGCTTTTTACTATTTTTTACTTTCCAGTATATTTAATAATGATCTTTCTTTGTTCAAGAATATCCAAACAAGTTACATGTAAATCTTTATCTCAAATATTCAATATCAAGATGAATAATCCCTCTCATATTTAATATTAACGTTTTGAGGTCATTGTTTTAAAAGAATTGTTTAACTTTGAATTTTAGATGCATGAGGAGAAAGGAGTTAAGTTCCACTTTGAAGCAGGTATTAAGGAATTTATAGGACAAAATGGCAAATTATCAGAAGCAGTGCTGTCAAATGGGACCAAAATACCAGCTGATGTTGCCATACTGGGTGTAGGTAGGGTCATTTTGGTGTGTTGATTGTTTTGTTGTTGTTTTTGTAAGATACATTGGTTTGAAATATTTATGATATTGGCTGTCAGACTTTTGCATTAAGTGGCAGGTTTTCTTCTATCTTAAATCTTTATCTAGTGGATTATCTTATACATATGCATAGGGTATGTGGATGTGAAGAAACTTTCCTGCTATGTGAAGGGCAGTGGCTCTACTCGGGTGCCTGCTCATACCTTAAATAATGGTAGAGGGGCCCCTGAATTTCTTCCTCCATCCATTAAAGTATGAAAGTTGTCATATGACTCTAATAGTGTTGATGTTGCTTAAAACTTCATATAAATAAACAAATAGATTGACTGGATATGTGACAACACAACATGGTTTTAGTATTTAAATGATAAAACAGTACTTATGCGGTCATTCAGTTGTGTATTTGAAGAGATTGTAAAATTCTGTAAGGTAATACAACACTAAATTTTATGTATTTAAATTAATATATATCTAGGTGTTGTACCAGCTACTGCTTTCCTCAAGGATTCTGGTATTAAAATGACGGATCGGGGATTTGTGCCGGTTAATGAGGTAAAACTATTTTGTTACAATTTGATAAACCTTGATTTAGCGTTCGGTCTGCAAGCAATTATTACCATATGACCAGTGGACCAAAACAAACAGGCACATCCTCGCCATCTGATCATTGTCTGCACTGTTCAGTCAATATTTATCTTGAAATTTTGCCAAAACAGGATGAACGGTTTTATCAAGCTTGAAAGCTGAGTAAGTTAATATTCCTGGTTAGGATTAAGTTACTTTAAATTTTGTTGGAATCAGCAAAAATATTTTCCAAGGAAAAGTTTATGTCCTTTGTTACTTTCATACAAAGATAACACAATAAGAAATTGTACAATGCATTGCAACAGGATTGAAATATTATTTTGGTTAAGTCATTACAGCCTATAATGGATATTTTGTCTTGTTGTATTTGCTTCAAGTCTTGAAATAAGTTGCTGAAACTTATCTTTCACTTTCATCTCTGCTTCATGGTTGAGTCCTAAAAGTATCCAGTACTGGTTTCATAATAGGAAACAGTTGTGATATGACTAGGTCTCAAACCCACCATCTATGCACTGAGTGGCAGACCCTTAACAATTATGCCACCACCGCCCTTAAGCAGTATATCAGGCATATCCCAGCAGACAGTTACCTCAGTGTTAATCTTATATACTAGGGATCGCTACCAATGCTTTTCTTTACAATAATGACTCATAAACATATGCAAAACCTAATTAAGTATTGTACTTTAACAATGACTTATAACATCTTTATATTCAAACAATTACAGTCTGTTGATGCCATCTAGCTCTGATATGAGCACCAAGATGTAAAAGACGCTTACGAAAAATGAGCAGTTACGGTTTTCCTTTATCAAAATTTACAGTAAAAATCCTCAGAGTCTATTATTTTGAAAATATTAGTTCGGTTCAAAACTGAACACAATTTTTTTCAAAATGAAGTACTGCTAATTTATTCTAGAACATGGCAACAGATCAGGCCGATGTTTATGCAGCAGGAGACATTGTTGAATTCCCGCTCTTTACAGTTGGTGGAACAAATGTTAACATTCAACATTGGCAGATGGCCCATGCTCATGGTTTGTATATTTGTCTGCTTATAATTTTTTTAGTGAGAACTGCAATGTATCATAAAATATAAAATCATTTCTTTGTGCTCCAGATGTTCTTGTATTTGGCAATATCTATGATTTGATTTGTTTCTTGCAAATTACGTATACCAATATATAAAAATTGTAAATTACAAAAAATAGTGTATTTATTCACAGTTTTCTAAATACAAGAATGTAGTAAATTTTTCACTGTTTACTAAATACATGTTGTATATTTATTCACTGTTTTCTTATGGAAGATTACAAATGTAAAACTTCATTCTTAACAGTGGATTCGTATTATTATACAAGTAACAACTGGTTCATAAAGACAGTAGAATAACCTCAGTTAAAAGCATGTGACTTTATAAGATGACATTCAGTCTTACACCAGTGCAAACGCTAGAAAGTCTAGTCTGATATGTAAAAATGTATTTATAGATTTCATGATGTGTTAGAATGTATGTATAGATTGAATGATGTGCTCCATTTTTAACATCCCTGATATTGTCAATAGAGTACACTGTTGTTAAAAAAAAATCAAAGTAGACCAAATTTATTGTCTAAAATCAGTGAGAAAAATTTTACAGTAATTTTGTGTTTTGTTATAGGAAGGACAGCAGCTTACAGCATTATGGGTAAAAAACAACCAATCAGAAGTGTTCCCTATTTCTGGACTGTCCAATATGGCAAGAGTGTGAGATACACAGGTAACCTTTTCACTTTTTTGTGATTTTAATTTTTACTTATTTTTTGCTCGACTCTTTGAAGAATAAGGAGAGCTATCCTTGTCCCCTGAGGGTTCTTGTGGGTCATTCAGTTCACTAATTTAAAAGACTTGTATATGAAAACACATTCAAATCCTCTTCTTTTAAACAACAATAATGAACATGTACTACAGGTCATTTTTGTGACAATGACTTTTACATGAAACAGACATTAAAAATTTCCTTACCAACTGCAATGCGCAGAGCTTGGGTGTTGAACAAAGCGCAATACTGTATGGTCCTCTACAAAAGTTAAGTAGATTAAATTCCATGGGTAAAATAGGCTCTTTGTTAGCATGAACTTATATAAGAAGACAAATGTTTTTGTTGGAAACTACAAATGTACATGTCCTAGTGCTTAGATATTTGGATGAGGCACCCACATGACTTTTGTATAACTCACTCAAATGAATTTTCTTTGAATCAGGTTAGTTCATGTGAATATCTTTTTCAAATAAAAAATTGGGTTCACTTATTTTAAGTAAATTATTTTATGAGAAAACATATTAAAACCGTTTTGTGTGAACTAAATGACCTTCTGCCTTGACATTTTGCATTGTTTTACGGACTGATAGCCTATGTTATGGGAATCATGGCAATGTGACCCTGCCACATTGTGGCCCAATGACTTATTTCTACATTGAAGAACTTTTGTGATTTTTTTTCTAGCAAATGAGAGGCCCTCTTGTTATGTTATGGTTCACTAGTGGAAATTATCTTACATCTTAAGGTTATGGGCCAAAAAGAACATCTTGCATATATTACGGGTTATGGTCCATTTAGAACTTCTCTCATATTTTCATAGGTTATGGTCCAGGTTATGATGATGTTGTTGTTCATGGTGATCTTGATGACATGAAATTTGTAGCATTTTATACAAAGTGAGTAATGTTGCATATTATATATATATAGTAGAAATATTAATGTTTGATTTTACAGTGTATAAAATATGTTTAAGATAGAAAATGTTTGTTTTGTAGAAAATGTTTGTTTTGAGTAGTTATATCTCACTGAAATAGTTAATATTTTTCATAGGAAATAGAGTGAAAATATTCTTGTATTCAGATAAGAAAAGGGTTGTTATTGCTTAATTGAAATCACTTGTAACTGTGGTGCATTACTTTTGGATAAGATATCTTCACACACAAAAAATTCTATCAGGATGGCAAGTTATCTCTAGGTTGTTTTATTGAAAATTGAAGGGTTTATTGAAATATCGTATAAAATGGCAGCACTTATCAAGCTGAAACATTGCTTTATAAATGTCTTGTTAAAACCTTTGGCATACATATCCAACACATTTAAATCCTCATAAATACCTTTAAACTACAATCAGTCATTTTTTAAGGTTTCATTATTTGTGCTATACACTACTCATAAAATAACACATACATTATATACATGAGTCTCGGAGTAATGTGTAAGTTTTTATATGTTACAGGGGAGAAGATGTTGTTGCAGTTGCCAGCTTGAACTTTGACCCCATTGTATCACAGGCAGCTGAAATGTTCCAGGCAGGAAAGAAAATATCCAAATCTGAAATCAAGTATGCTTTTTTTCTTAACTGTACATGTATCTACTTAGCTATTTTCATTTTTTAGCTCGACTTTTCTATGAAAAGGGGAGCTATCCTACTCGCCCCGGCGTCGGCGTCGGCGTTGGCGTCACACCTTGGTTAAGTTTTTCGTACCACCCCACTTTATTTCAGAAGTATTACAAGTATGGCTTTGAAACTTACCATACTTGTTCACCATCATAACCTCCATCTACAGACAAGAGTACATAACTCTGTCAAGGTTTTTGACAGAATTATGGCCCTTTTTTGACTTAGAAAGTGTATTGAGCTTGGTTAAGTTTTTTGTACCAACCTCACTTTATTTCAAAAACCATTGGAGGTATTGCTTTGAAACTGACCATAACTTGTTTACCATCACGACCTTCATCAACAGACAAGAGGACATAACTCTGTCAAGGTTTTTGACAGAATTATGCCCCTTTTTGACTTAGAAAATACATTGAATATGGGTAAAAATCCACTTATTGCCTTAACCCTTTGAGATATTGCTTTGAAACTTTTAATGCTATTTCACACATCATTACCCCCATCTGTACGCAAGAGAAGGTAACTCTGTCAAGGATTTGTTTTAAAAATTAAGGCCTTTTATCGACTTAGAATCTTGGTTAAGTTTTTTTGTACCACCTCACTTTATTTCAAAACCATTGGAGGTATTGCTTTGAAACTGACCATACTTGTTTACCATCACGACCTTCATCAACAGACAAGAGGACATAACTCTGTCAAGGTTTTTGACAGAATTATGCCCCCTTTTTGACTTAGAAAATACATTGAATATGGGTAAAATCCACTTATTGCCTTAACCCTTTGAGATATTGCTTTGAAACTTTTAATGCTATTTCACATCATTACCCCCATCTGTACGCAAGAGAAGGTAACTCTGTCAAGGATTTGTTTTAAAAATTAAGGCCTTTTATCGACTTAGAATCTTGGTTAAGTTTTTAGTACCAGTCCACTTTTTGACTGAACTGTTTGAGATATTAATTTGAAAGTTGGAATACTTGTTTACAATCATGATTCCCAAACATGTCCAGGAGAAGGTAATTCTGTCAAAGATTTTATTTGAATTATGGCCCTTAACTGTCAATGTTTTGTATTATAGGCAAGCACTAAAAAAGTCGAGCGCGCTGTCTTACGGACAGCTCTTGTTAAGAAATATGTTTCTTTAAAACTGTTTCTAAATGTCAGAATGTCATGCACTTTGTTCAAAAGTCACAAGCCAGTTTGTCACCCACTTTGAGATTCTGACCAATTACAAACAGTTTCAGTTATCTACTGGAAAGCTTTTACAGTTCAACTTCTATTAAGCAACACCATTAAGAAGACAGTGATTTTGTTTTCTGCTGTGAAGTGTTGTTCTAGAGAGATTGAATTTATTGTAAATGTTTTCTTTCGTAAGAAATAAAGACTTTCGTTGTAAAGAGGTAATTGCCTTACAGAGGGCGCTGCAGTGGTGATACTGTCACATATCTTTTCTAATCTTGCTGTTGTAAGTCATCACTGTAGTGTGGAGCTGATGGCAATAAAATAGTAACTTATATGCTGTTAGAGTTTTCTAAATATATATATAATCCTCAATCTCAATGTTTAATGTTTTCTAAAGATAAAATGAAGTTAATTTATTTATTTTGTTTATTTTTCAGGACAGATCCAAAGTCTTGGGTATCTCGACTGTAGATTTAAAAAAAAATAAAATAAAAAACATTTGAAATGAACATCTGCTGTTTTTTGAAATGAACATCTGCTGTTTTTTTAAATGAACATCTGCTGTTTTTTGAAATGAGCATCTGCTGTTTTTTGAAATGAACATCTGCTGTTTTTTGAAATGAACATCTGCTGTTTTTTGAAATGAACATCTGCTGTTTTTTTAAATGAACATCTGCTGTTTTTTGAAATGAACATCTGCTGTTTTTTGAAATGAACATCTGCTGTTTTTTGAAATGAACATCTGCTGTTTTTTGAATGAACATCTGCTGTTTTTTGAATGAACATCTGCTGTTTTTTGGGAGTATTGGTTATTGAAGCAGGTTAGTTTATTTATTGTGGTGGACATTATTTCTATCTATATAGAAAGTGCAGGTCAACATTGTTCGAATTGTCTTATCTAAAAAATTTAAAGTTTGTTTTATTTTGAAGAATGAAAAACATGGGGACAGTATCACGTGACTTTTTAAGCATTTATTTGTAGGTATGCAAATTGTGAAAATTACCATATGCTTAAGCAAAGTAAATTGTTTTATTGTTTAACTGGAAGAGCTTAATGTTTATAAAGCAAATGAAGGAAAATTTGCATTTCGTGCCATTGAGTAGAATAATTTATGTAGCTCTGATGAATATTATGCAAATATGTTAACATATGATTTTCAAGTGGCATGCCATAGATTAGTATAAAACAATCTTTAAAAAATCAAACTTATGAAATATTTTATATAATTATACAGTTTATATGACTTTGAATATATACAATTATGAATTAATTATACAAAATATGAAAGAATTTTGTACTTTTATCACCAAATGTCTACCCTGTTATACATGTAAATAGAGTAATAGAAAAATAGGTAATTTATGTGGATTGTAAATAAAGATGCTAGATCAAAGCACTTAATTTGTACCCATATCAACATTTTTACTTGGGCAACATTATACACTGTAGGGATGCTGCTTTAATGTTGTATTTCTGTGAGTTTTGTTTATATTCAGGTTATATTTATACAGAAATAATACCATGCTTACAGTATTGTATTTATTTACTTAATCAAAGCAATAAAGTTTATTTCCTGTTTTTGTGTGTTTTTCATTGTTTTAAGCTTATGTGAGCTAAAAGTGCTCAGGGGTGAGCTTTTTAGGTTGTTGTCCACAATTTCTTTAATCATCATCTCCTCCTAAACTTCTTGATGAATTTTGGCATGATACTTAGGTTGTCCTTTACAACAGTTATATAAATGGTTCTAGTCTGATGCAAAAGTGGGTCACAGGAGCTAAATATAGGCTTTAAAAATGAGATCTTTAAAAATCTTCTTCTCAGAAAATACAATGCCCAGAGCCAAGATATATGGCATGTAGTATTAGCTTGTAGTTCTCTTCAAAATGAATATAAATCAGTCCCCTGGGGTAATAAAAAGGTCAAGCAGAAGAGGTATTTTTAGTTTATAAAGACTTATAGGACAATACATTTAAGTCTTCTCTTTATGAAATACTATGCCTAGAGCTTAGGTATTTGGCATAAAGTATTACCAAGTAGACATCTAAAAAAATCTTTGAAATTACAAGGCCCAATTTTTGCATTTTGCATGAAGCATCATCTTGTGGTCCTTTACTAAAGTACATAAATCATGCTCCAGGGATCAAAATAAGGCCATCCAGGGGTCACTTAGTTTATATAATTTTACATTATAAAACAACTGATTAAGTCTTCTTGTGTGAAATTACTATTCTAGAAGCATTTCATAGCAGTCATCTACAAATATTTAAAAAATTATGCAACCTAGAAAAAACATTTACTTGTATTTACCCTTTTTCTAGCATGCATGTTAGGCGAGTGATCGAAAACCATCATAGCCTTGTTTTTCTTAATCATAGATATATTTGTTTGAAAAGAGCCACACCCAGGTGGGGACCACACTCAATTTTTTTTTTACTTCTAAAGTCAAATGCATTGAAGAAAGAAAATGCAATGGTCTTGAAAAATTTTAATTCATATTTCATATTATGACCTTGATGGTAAAGGTCATTCAAAGGTCAAGGTCACATTTGAATTAATCATCATTGGCAGTTTTGTCATAAGTGTTCTTTTGGCCAAGTATTAAGCAAATCTGTACATAAATAACAAAGTAATGACAATTTAAGAAAATTTCAATAACGTGACCTTAAAGGTATATTTTTATTAAAGATTTCCTGTAAAGTCCAAATGTGACTGACCTTGAGACCTAGATCTTGCACATGACAGAAGCTTTTTGTCTATTGCAGCTATAAGCTTATTAAAAACATTTCGGGAAACTGTTTCCCGGGGCCAAAAAAAGTACTAAGGGTAAGCAATTAAAATAGTTTTTTTGGGGCCCAAAGGGAAAAAATGGCTTGCACCCAAAAGGGGGTTTTAAAACCCCAAATGGTCAATAAACCTTAAAACTTTTTGGGTCTTTTAACCCCTTGGGAAATTTTTTAACCCCAAAAATTAAACTAAAAAAAAGTTTGACTCTTGTTTATCTCGAAAATCATCGTGACCGTCAAAAAAATATCGAGATAACGAAATGTCGAGATAAACATATTTGGGTTTGAACAAGGCAGAAGCTGATTTTTACAAAAGACATGTGGATACCTTATGTCAAATAAACTATGATATCTCCATGTCTTCTTTTTATAAGCCTAGTATCGCAAAGTCAATATTTAACAAAGTTACATTAGCGATGTTTACCAGTGGAAAATGGGTGTCTGTGATAAAAACACATAGTGAGGTTTACTCAGTAATACACCAAAATAGTGAAAACATTGTTTTCAGGGTGGTTGATCCGGATATCCTCCCAGGTTAGTTATTGGGCCCTTCTCGAGATTGTTAGACGGCTGTTTGATTTTTTGATGTTGTGCTATACTTTCACTATTTCATTTACAGTTTAAGTCATAATGAATTAATACAGTGTTCGAATATTTATAAAGAACATAAAATTCAGTCATTTTGGACATAAGTCAATCAACACGCTAATTAGATTAATTTTTATAATAACAGCTCAACTTGTTACAAACATAATCATCATTATGACATGCGCTTTTTAGCAATTATTGTCTAGTTTGTGTTTTTCACAAGACGAAAACTATTAGTCGATATAAACAAAGGACAATAGTGTGAAAATAACTGTTGGGGCTGAAATTTTACATCGAGATACTGAAAATATCGAAATAAAAATATCGAGATAAATAAATATATCCAATAAAGATAAAGAAGGAAGAAAATCGGGACTTTCAAAATTTCATCGAGATAACAAAGTATCGAGAAAAGCGATGTCACAAAGTATCGAGAAAAGCGATGTCGAGATAACGATAGTTGACTGTATAACAACACAAGCCAGCCCTGAAATATCACAATGTTTATTTCTCAAATTGCAATTTAAAACGAAATATAAACATTTTTTTAACTCCAGAATCTTGACTTTGAAAGTATATTCTATCATTTTTTTTCTTCTTAAAAACGATATTGGGTATTTTATATCGCACAATCACTCTCAACATCAAATATAAATATTTCACAATAAACTAGTGCATGCTTAAGTTAAATATAATAAATTTTAACTTTTTCTGTTTAGGAATGTATTGTTATGATCATTGATTTTTAATTTTTCCAAGTGTATTAAATATATATGTACGCCATGCAAGAAATTCTAAACTGCTTTCAATCACTCGGAAGATTCTACACATGTCCTGTTTTTCACTTTCTACATCTCAAATTTTGGTGGTCTAACTTTTATCTTACTCAAAGGATGACTACGATGAAGTTTCCTGCCCGACTTCTTATGTAAATACTGGTAACTGGTCTTGTAAACCTTCTGCTCATTCAGCCTGTTATAACCCTCATAATCTATGCCAGGAATTACTTCATGCACGACCTCATCCGGTTCACTTAATTCAATCTCGTTTTCTTTGAGAGCTTGAAGAAAAGCAGCCCTCTGTAATGCATAAATAAACAGCCAATATTACACAAGTAAACTTAGAGAATATTACATGAGTAAGCTTAGAGACTTATCACAGAATATTACACAAGTTAGCTTTAAGAATATTACACAAGTAAGCTTAGAGAATATTACACAAGTAAGCTTAGGGAATATAATATAATTATAAATATAATAGAAGTAAGCATAGAGAATATTACACAAGAAAGCTTAGAGAATATTACACAAGAAAGCTTAGAGAATATTACACAAGTAAGCTTAGAGAATATTACACATGTAAGCTTAGGGAATATGACATATATAAGTAAGTTAAGGGAATAAATAGAAACATAAAATTTGAATTTTTTTAACTAAGAAGTGCTTGGGCACTTAAAACAAAAGATATGATAAAGATATGATAAAGATAATTAAGAAATAATTATATTCCTAGAAATTAATTGAAAATTTTATTTATGCTACTCTTATCCATATTTGGGTGGAAAGCAACGTGTTTCAATTTTGGGTCATTTTTCACAAGATTTATTATTATTCTGGAAAAACAGAGTGAGTGAATGATCTGAAATTTTGCACACAAGTCATTAGTCTAGAAAATTTATTGCCAGTCCTGTCCAGTGGAGTCCCTTTAAATTCAAAGCAGGGCAAATCCATTACACAAATTCAGCTGGTTAAGAGTTAACAAATCGAAAGTAGCGACAAAAATCAACACATACCTTCAAAGAGGTAGCATCATCAGCTTCAGCCTCGTAAAACACCCTCGTGATTCCCGCCTCTAACATTCTTCGTGCTAAAAGATGTCCTATATTACGATTAGCACTTACATCCTGGGCACTGAAATGTATCAAAATACCATAGTTCTTAAATTAAATATTCAGGGAAACAATTTTTTAAACCCTTGTTGTCAATAAGTTTTGCACATTTGTACACAAAGGGGTAACCGTCGCAAAAACCTTCGGCAAGTTCGCCATCACATCAGTCTGACCACACTACATACTATGGTAGTAGTGACAAGTACAACGTATCTACTTCACATAGACCTACTTCAATCTGAAGGCAAAGCTTTTGCACAAGTAAGAATTAATGTTCTTTTTTAGAATCAATTCAACAGTGAAGATCACATATAACATGAAAATTATTACTTGAATCTTGTACATTTTTCTCAAGTTTGATTTTCTTCAAATATTTTGGCTAATCTGGAGGCATGAAGCTTTTCGACAAAGGTCTGTCAAAGTATTTTGCCACATTTGGTTAGAACAGTTATTTACTTACTTATATAAGTATTTTAAAACATTTGGTTCCGAGGATGATGCTTCTAGTACTATCTTCCCTTTCCAATGTTCAATATATGCCTTGGTTTTTTTGGAGTCGTACACTAGCCTACAAAATAAAAATTTCGATATCAATAATATCTCCAAAGACCTCTTCATGTCAAACCTCTGTCATACACTGAAACTAACACTGAGCTCTTAAGCCAAAATTTAATATGGTCTTTCAACATAACATGTCTGGATTTGAATCAATAGAGTTGAGAGAAAAATGCTTTGAAATCAGCTAGCGGGTACCTCAACCAGTTCTCCTACTAAATATGAAGGATACCACCTACTAAATATGATATGACCTTAAGATATCAGTCAGTAAATGAAGTTCTAAGAGAGACTGTAGGACAAACCTGACAGAACAGAAGTATAAAGCTGTGACTTTATGCTCCCTAAAGGCAATCATAATATGCTTAAAAGTATTAGGTATTCTTAACAATCAAGCTAACAAAATAGGTTAATTAAGAACAACAAAAACACCCATATATGTACCTGTGGTAAAAATCTTTTCTTGGTGCCTGAAACTTCCAACCTTTTCTCTTTGGTTCTAATCCCATCTGTTCCAAAGCCCTGAAATAAATAGAAAAATATCTTCATTAAGGATTTAAGACTTGATAAGGATTTAAGACTTTAGTACATAATCAATTTTTGTCTGCATAAGAACATTTCAATAATATGCAGTTTATTTTATAAGAAATTGCAAGGTAGTTATTTTGCATTTTGTTCTGTTTCATATACTTCATCTGTAACCTACAGCGCATGCCGGTATTTTCATAGTTACATGTACATTGTATATATGAATCAATAGGAAAGGTATTCGCAAATTGATACTTTGACATATTGGAATGTTAGCATAGATCTGACCTGCAAGGTATGTCTGCAAGGAATAGCACCCTCAAAATTTATGATTAAGGTCATAAGCAATAAAAAACTAATTTCAGAACAAGCAAATTCGTTGAATTTATATCCCCCGCCGAGTACTGGTTATTATTAACACAACAACTGAAGACATAAGGCTTTATTTATATATTAATCATGGCATAAACTGTAAAATTCTTTGAACTTGAAGCCTTGTACCTTCAAACAAGAAGAGTTTTTAAGTTTTCACTATATACATATAAGGAAAATCTATGACCTCCTGGAGTGGGGCCAATTTTGACCCCAGGGCTAAAATTTGAACAATTTTGGCAGAGGACCTATATGTTATATCATATACCAAATATCAAAGCTCTAGTCCTTGTACTGTCAGACAAGATTTATTAATTTTGCATTTTTGAAACTCCTTTTCTGGCACCGTGTGACTGATGATTGTGATTGAAAATTACAAAATTTTACTAAGTCAAGGGCAATAACTCTAAAAATACTAAAATATATCCAGACGAAAATACCCAGGTGCACAACTGCACATGCTGATCAACATTCCCATAAAGTTTCGTTGAATTCCAGCCATTAGTTGCAGAGAACTACTCCGGAAACGAAATTCGGACAAAATTTTACTGAGTCAAGGGCAATAACTCTAAAAATACTAAAAATATCCTGACGAAAATACCCAGGTGCACAACTACACATACTTATCAACATTCCTGTAAAGTTTCATGACTCTAGGTCAAATACTTTTTGAGTTACATGCGACACAAGTTGAAAATTACAAAATTTTACTAAGTCCAGGGCAATAACTCTAAAAATATTAAAAATATCCAGACGAAAATACCCAGGTGCACAACTACACATACTGATCAACATTTCTGTAAAGTTTCATGACTCTAGGTCAAATACTTTTTGAGTTACATGCGACACAAGTTGAAAATTACAAAATTTTACTAAGTCAAGGGCATTAACTCTAAAAATACTAAAAATATCCAGACGAAAATACCCAGGTGCACAACTCCACATGCTAATCAACATTCCCATAAAGTTTCGTTGAATTCCAGCCATTAGTTGCAGAGAACTACTCCGGAAACGAAATTCGGACAAAATTTTACTGTGTCAGGGGCAATAACTCTAAAAATACTAAAAATATCCTGACGAAAATACCCAGGTGCACAACTTCACATGCTGATCAACATTCCCATAAAGTTTCGTTGAATTCCAGCCATTAGTTGCAGAGAACTACTCCGGAAACGAAATTCGGACGGACGGATGGACGGAAGGACGGACGGACGGACGGAAGGACGGACGGACAACGCCAAAACTATATCCCCCTCCCGATTCCGTCGGCGGGGGATTACAAAAGTTAAATGTAGATGCCTTGAAGGTCACACAACATAGTCAAATAAAAAAAATTTATAAGCTGAATTTGACTGACCATTTGAATGGATGGAAGTGGTATTAAAATGCAATCTAACATACAAGCCAACTCGCACCAACTAAAGCAGAATCTAATGTGTGTTTAACAAGAGCTGTCTGTAAGCTTGACAACAGTAAGAAAAGGGGCATAACTCTGTAAAAAGGTAATGCAGTATGTAAGATAATCTCAGAGAACAAGTGTGTAAAGTTTCAACCCCTTACGTTCAGTAGTTTTGAAGATATCAACTTGCATGTAAAAACTTAACCCAAGTTTGATGCAGATGACGGGGTTAGTACAATAGCTTATCCTATACTTTGAATATTATTAATTACAAATTGTGAAAAAAAACATACATACCTGGGATTCCTATTTGTAAACAATGGATTTACTTCAATGTTCTTGTTCTTTTTAGGATCTTTTGTGCTTAGACACCTGCTACCATTGGCAACTGAAAAATATGGAACACAAAATAAGTACATGTATTTGGAATTATCAACAAGCAGTTTGTTGTCATTGATAATACCAGAGGGCCATGATGGCCCTGAATCTCTCACCTGTCTATAGGCCACCCCGAGATGTTTCATGACAAATACTGAAGCTCTAGCTCTTTGGGGTTTTTAAAAGAAATTTTTTTAAGTTTTTACTATCACATATAGGGAAAAACAATGCCACCTCCCCCCGGCGGGCCAATTTTAACCCCAGGGCTTTTATTTGAACAAACTTGGTAGACACTCATTAAATGATATTTCATGCTTAATATCTAAGCTCTAGCCATTTGGGTTTTTTAATAGAAGATTTTTTAAGTTTTTACTATACACATTTGAGGAAAATCAATGACCACTGGGGCTGGGCCAATTTTAACCCAAGGGCCTTTATTTGAACAAACTTGGTAGACACCCATTAAAAGATGTTTCATGCTAAGTATCTTAGCTCCAGCTCTTTGGGTTTTCTAAAAGAAGATCTTTTAAATTTTTCACTATATACATAAGGGGGAAAAACAATTACATGTACCAACCTGGGGCGGTGCCAATTTAGACCCCCAGGGCTTTTATTTGAACAAACTTGGTAGACACCCACTAGAAGATGTGTCATGCTTAATATCTAAGCTCTAACTATTTGGGTTTTTAAAAGAAGATTTCTTAAGTTTTTACTATATACAAATAAGGAAAATCAATGACCCCAGGGCTTTTATTTGAACAAACTTGGTAGACACTGACTAGACGATGTTTCATGCCAAATATTTAAGCTCTAGCTCTTTAGGTTTTTGAAAAGAAGATTTTAAGTTTTTTATTTCGTTCTGCATGGAATTAAATTCTTTGAACAATTTTTAAAGTTGACTACCAAAGGAACATTCCTATAAAGTTTGGATGAAATTGGCTTAGTGGTTTATGAGGAGATGTCGTTTAAAGTAAAATTTTATGGACGGATGGGCAACGGATGAATGCAGGAGGAAAAGCTATCACAAAAGCACACAATGTCACTTTGTGACGGGTGAGCTAAAAATAGACTTATGAAACAAAACTCATTTTTGTTCCCTACATGATTGATTTAAAAAGTATTCATCAGTTTCTGAAATATCTGCATCCTGCAAGTATAAGACTTAGCATATGGGCTGTAATCAAAGATAAAGAATAGTGTTGGGTACAGTATTTTATCAAGACGTTGTCAGGGCATTTTTCTCCCTGGCCTATCACCATGTGCTAATGTAAGGCCTTATTCCCCAATGCAAAATAATTGTTTTCCCCACAGGTTCAAAAGAAAAATTCAAATTCTGAAAAAAAATTGAAAGTTGTGACACATAAAAGACTTCATATATTCTATGATATACATATGAAAAAAACTTAAATGACATACAGTGATTTTCCTGTTTTATATAACAGACTCTGATTAAAGGCCTCCTCCCAATTGAAAGTTTCTTTAAAATCATGCAGTTTTCCCAAAAATCTGAACTTAAACCTGCTTTTATACTTCTCAAATTAGTAATTTTAGATATACTTTTCCCAAAATCAAGAGGCTAAGGCCCCTTCCCAATTAACTGAGAAAAATCACTAACATATATAAAATTTTCCAATATTTCTAAAATTTCCAAAAATGCAATATATATACAAGAAACATGGCAATGCCAAGAAACCAGGTTTTCAATTATCTCCATTGTAGATAAATATGTTGTATTTGAAATACAAATACAAGCAATAAACAATGTAACTATGTGCAATGTAAAACATGAATAATGTAAGAGGAATTGCCACAGAAGAAGTGTTCACTATATATTCTGTATAAGGAAAAAAAACAAAGGGCCATAATTAGGTCAAAAATTATCCAATCACAAAACCTCTACAATATGCGTCAGGGCACTTGATGACAAAGCTTCTGTGAAAGTTTGAACAAAATCTGTTGAGAAATGTAGGACTAGTTCAGCACAGAAGAATTTGTTCACTATATATTGATAATTCTGTATAAGGAAAAAAAAACAAAGGGGCATAATTAGGTCTAGGGTTTCTTAATCGGACAAAAATCATAATCGATCATCGAAAATAATCGAACAACCCTTTTCGATCAATCATCGATTATATAATCGAAACATTTATGATAACAAAGTAAAAAAGTATAATATACATATCATGCTTTAATATTTATAAGAATTCCATTTCCATGTGACCACCACTTTATCAACTGAAATAAATTAATTTTAAGATATACTATGCTCATCCTTGATAAAATATTTTAATAAAATAAATTCATTAAAATCTATGAAATTATTATGTCTCACTTTCTAAAAAGGAATGAATAAACTATGTATGGGAATAAGTTAAGTTGGTTGATCTGTTCTTAACAAAACTGCCAGTTTTTTTTAATGACACTATATATTGATATTGCAACCACCTATATATAGTGAGTAGAATAATTTTATACATAACATATCTTTTTGTGTGAAGTCAAAACATGTTTATTTTATATTTACAAATAGAAGGTATAGCAATTTTAAATATTTTCTAATGTCAAATTTGAGCATAGTATAACTTTAAAATAGCATGCCTGATTGTCAACTATTAACTCAATGGTCACCAGTATGCTTTCATATATCAATTGAATGAAAATTATTGTTTTCAAACAAAACTGGCTTTAATTTAGAGTGTTTGTTATAATACAGTTAGTCACTTAAGTAACAGCAAAAAAATAAATTTGCCGATGATCGATTATTAAACTTTGTAATCGATCATCGCCGATCGGTTCTATAACCGATCAATTTTCGATTATACTGGATCATCGTTTAATCCCTAATTAGGTCAAATATTATCCAATCACAAAACCCCGACAATATGCGCCAGGGCACTTGATAACAAAGCTTCTGTGAAAGTTTGGTCAAAATCCGTTGAGAAATGTAGGAGGAGTTGCGCACAGAAGAAATTGTTTACGCCCGCCCGTCCGCCCATCCGCCCGCCGACATACCTCAATCTAATAACCAGTTTTTTCCTTTGGAAAACCTAATTAATAAAATTTTCCTATCTAAACTAGGCTTTTTCCCAAAATAGCTTGAAAAGGCCCTGGTTGAAAAGGGAAATATTACATCCTTACAAAAGATAAAGCAACCAAGCATCTTTTCTTCCAATTTGTATCACATGTAATGCCAAATGAACTAACCAAGTTTGAAAGAAATATCTTTTGAAATTTTCAAAAAAAAAGTCCGATCAGACATTTTGACCAGCCTGTATAAAAAGAAACAAATTTATTGTAGAAAGAAAACTAATGAAAATTAAGCAAATAACATGGGGAAGTCAAAGGCTTGGTATAAACTTAATGTGTATATTTAAAAAGAAATCAAATAAAAAACAATTACATAATATAGATGTCTAAACCTAATTTTCAGAAAAATATTTAGTTGACCCCCCCCCCCGGCATTTTTTATGTCACTCAATGATAATCGGCGGGTATTCATTTTTTATGTCACTCAATGATAATCGGCGGGGTATTCCGATAAAAGAAAAATCACAACTTTTTGGCACATTCATAGGCTTTGCCTACTTTCATATTAATCATCAAATTATTCATTATTCACATTTGCAAATTTTACTTTAGAAAAGACTAAAGACATTTTTAAAAAGTTGGAAATTATGAACATAATTTAAAACATGTTATCATCACCTTAGTGTATTCACAGATTACCTCTTTATATGATTTGATAGGAGTTAACCTTTTACTACACTAAACTGTCTAAAGTGATGATATGTTATAAATTATGCACACATGATATTCAAGTATAGTGAACCCCACCCACTTTTTTACAACAACATGTGCAATATTTCTAGACCAATTTAAAAATCATAGAATACTGATTACGTCTTTTCTTTACACTATACCTGTATTCGACAGAGTTTTGCATGAAAATGCAGTTGTGTCTAAAAGTGCAGGTGATATAAGACGTAATGACAAGATTTTATTCATTTTGTGACTTTCCCAAATCTCCTTTTTATTCTGGGGAGAAGTTAATTTCGGCACAGTATTTGCAAGTTTTAAGAACCGTTAAACATGTATAACATATGCGTTACGACATATAAATACACTTATATATATCAAAACGATTAAAATTTAAATAAAGACAAATAGGTTGCGCGTAGAGGACCTTACAAAGAGGTTTTATTTTTAATATTTGCTCCCATCAGAAAACCGGAAACACGTGAAAATGGGGTAAACATAGAAATGTCAAAATAAAATTTCATATTTTTATAACAAAATAGACAATAACAATGATATTTATCAGTCATTTTCTCAAATTGGAGAAGTATTTTGTAAAATAAACATATTTTTTGCAATGACCACTTTATATGTCTCTTGCTTACAGGGTTGTTTACGTAAAAGTTATGCATATTCGGATATTATTTATTTCGGACACAGGGTGTTCAGTAGACAAAAGACTTGAAAGCTAATAAACATTATAGATTTTTAGACAAATTAACATTTATCACTATTGACTTTGTCACACAGCATTGCACTAAATATCGTATGCTTATCTTTTAATTGTATATTAATCTTTCTTTTTCAACAATTATCAACTTTCTTTCTATTGTCTTTCTCATAAATACATATTGTATTGCAAGTGTATTTCTTCTGTAAATTTCTTCTTGAAATTTTTTGCACATAAACCAAATATTCAAAAAGGTGTGGTGCAGTATACATAGATAGATACTTTTAAAGTTTAGCAAAAAGTGTTTTAGATCATGTCATGGAAAGTTTTGCACAGGGTTAGATAATCAATCTGGCCTAGAAATAATTAATGCGTGATTAGAATTATTATGATTTAATGGTAAATGACAATTATATTTTGCCACATATTACCTGTAGGATGATCCTGGGCACTAAGCCATGTTTATGCTCCTCTTCTGTTGACAAACTTCTCCACTTTTTAGATTGACTATTCGATACGAATAAGTAGAGCTATTTTAGTCACCCGAGTGTCAGCTTCGGTGTAACCTCTTATGTTAAAGTTTTTGTAATACCTCAAATATTTTCAATGTCCATTGACATCTGTCTTTGAAACATTGCACACTTGTTCACCATCATAACCACAACTTGTAGACAGGTGGAGGTAACTCTCAAGCATTTTGACAGAATTATGCCCCTTTTTCGACTTAAAATTTACGTTAAAGTTTTTGTAACACCTCAAATATTTTCAAAGTCCATTGACATATGGCTTTGAAACTTTGCACATTTGTTCACCATCATGACCCCAAATTGTAGACAGGAGGAGGTAACTCTATGAAGCATTTGGCAGAATAATGCCCCTTTTTTAACTTAGAATTTACATTAAAGTTTGCATACCACATCAGATATTTTCATATTTTATTGACATCTGGCTTTGAAACAAGTTGAAATTTTATACTCTTCTTTGAGAGCATTATAGGACTCTCTCCAAGTCCTATAACTGTAACATGGATTTAAAGAAAAATTTTGCCCTTTTGTTAACTCAGAAAATTCTACATTATCAAGGCTCTTTTACTATCAAGCACTAAGAATAGTTGAGCGTTGCTGTCCTACCGACAGCTCTTGTTCATGTTGGTCTAATCACTATTACATTTATTAATATGCACATATCCAGCTTTAAATTTATACTGCTATACATGTATTTAGCAGTTAATGTTTTATACTAATAGTGATTTGCTAAAGACTTACAACATATTTTATACTAATAGTGATTTGCTAAAGACTTACAACATATTTTATACTAATAGTGATTTGCTAAAGACTTACAACATATTTTATACTGCAGTGACATAAAGGAGAGTGTTACAGACCCGGTTGGGCGCCGAATCTTGGCTCAGTTCAAGAGTGAGACTGGTGAAATTACTGGCAGCGCATTCGATTTACCAGTTGATATAACAGTTGATAAGCTACAGCTTGTCTGCAATGCTATTTTACAAAAGGTAAATTTACTTTTTAGCTTTAGTTACCTTTAAGGAATTTTTAGAAATTAGATTGATATTCTTCATGTGCCCACAATTTCTGTAGAAAAAGTAAATTGATTGTAAATTTCTTATTGCACTCACATGTAAATTTCTTATTGCACTCACATGAAATATACATTTTTAGCTCGACTATTGATAAGAATAAGTAGAGTAGTCACCCAACCGTCGGTGTCAGCATCACCAGTTATGTTAAAGTTTTTGTAATACCTCAAATATTTTCAAAGTCCATTGACATATGGCTTTGAAACTTTGCACACTTGTTCACCATCATGACCCCAACCTGTAGACAGGAGGAGGTAACTCTATGAAGCATTTGGCAGAATGATGCCCCTTTTTCAACTTAGAATTTACATTTAATTTTGCATACCACCTCAAATATTTTCATATTCTATTGACATCTGGCTTTGAAACAAGTGGAAATTTTATACTCTTCTTTGAGAGCATAATAGGATTCTCTCCAAGGCCTATAACTGTAACATGGATTTAAAGAAAAAAATTGCCCTTTTGTTAACTTAGAAAATTTTACATTATCAAGGCTCTTTTACTATCAAGCACTAAGACAAGTTGAGCGTTGCTGTCCTACAGACAGGTCTTGTTGTACATTTTTTCGAGAAATAAGATTAATGGAGGGTGATTTGTTGTTCTGGTAATCATGCCATTTCAAGTATGATGGAGCCTGCAATTAAACCTATATAAAGCAAATAAAATTAAAATTTGCTGTGACCGTTACAATTACTTTAATTATGTAAAAAATTACATGATAAAAAATGTTCTAATTTGATCTGCACTATCCATTTGTTTTGTTTCAAAGGATTATTGTTCACAATTACTTTGTGTATGTTAATAAAAGAATATTTTTTACCCAACCTGACCAGGAAGTTCAAGGGTGGGGTTTATGTGGGGGGTATGCCCCGGCGTCCTCTTCGTGCTCGGCGTCGGCAAAAATTTGGGGTGTTAACAGTCTACAGTCACATTTTTTTGGAATCATCAAATTTTGTCAGAAATTTAATCAATGAAATACGGGTTTCGGGTGAAGAGGGGTTATCTGGGGTCAAAAACGGGTAAACAGGAGCAAAAAAATAGAAAAACCCTTTTAAACATCTAAGGCTGCATTTTTTCAATCCAAAATTTTGGGAAAATTTTTCAAGGAAAGTTTGTTTTGATGTATCTAGGTAAGGTTCGAAGATGGGTCATTCTCTCAAAAACATAGTCACAGGAGCTAAAAATAGAAAAAAGCTTGTTAACACTCTAGTGGCTGCAGTTTTGATCCAAATATTTTGGAAATTTTGTCAGGAAGGTTGTTTGATGATATCTAGTCAAGTTGAAGATGGGTCATCTCCAGGTCAAAAACTAGGTCACAGGAGCTAAAAATAGAAAAAAGCTTTGTTAACACTCTATAGGTCTGCAGTTTTCATCCAAATATTCTGGAAATTTGTCAGGAAATTGTTTGATGGTTTTTCTAAGTCAAGTTCGAAGATGGTCATCTCCGGGTCAAAAACTAGTCACAGGAGCTAAAAATAGAAAAAGCTTGTTAACATCTAAATAATTGGGGTTGTTAACAAGTCTAGCAGTCCACAGTTTTGATTGGGATCATCATCAAACTTTGTCAAAAGTTTGTCTTTAATAAAAACAGATCAGTTCGAAGATGGGTATCTTGGGTCAAAAACTAGGTCACAGGAGCTAAAAATAGAAAAAGATTGTTAACACTCTAGAGGCCTGCGTTTTCATCCAAAATATTCGGAAATTTTCAGGAAGGTTGTTTTGATGATATCTAGGTCAAGTTCGAAGACGGGTCCCATCTCCGGTCAAAAACAAGGTCACAGGAGCTAAAAATAGAAAAAAGCTTGTTAACACTCTATAGGGACTGCAGTTTTCATCCAAATATTCTGAAATTTGTCAGGAAAGTTGTTTTTGATGGTTTCTAAGTCAAGTTCAAAGATGGGTCACTCCGGTCAAAAATAGGTCACAGGAGCTAAAATTGAGAAAAAGCTTGTTAACACTCTTATAGGCTGCAGTTTCATCCAAATATTCTGAAAATTGTCAGGAAGGTTGTTTAGATGATATCTAGTCAAGTCAAGTTTTAAATAGATCATGTCGGGGCCAAAAACTAGTCACAGGAGCTAAAAATAGAAAAACTTGTTAACACTCTAGTGGCAGTTTTGATCCAAATGTTTTTGGAAATTTGTCAGGGTTGTTTTAAGGAAGGTGTGTTTGATGATATCTAGTTCAATTTTTCGAAGATGGGTCCATCTCCAGTCAAAAAAAACTAGGTCACAGGAGCTAAAAATAGAAAACATAGCTTGTTAACACTCTAGGGCTGCAGTTTCATCTAAAATATCTGGAAAATTTGTTCAGGAAGGTTGCTTAAAGATATATCTAGGTCAAGTTCGAAGATGGTCATCTCAGGCAAAAACTAGTCACAGAGCCTAAAAATAGAAAAAGTTTGTTAAAACACCTTAGCCTGGCTGCAGTTTTCATCCAAATATTCTTGAAATTTGTCAAGGAAGGTTTGTTTTGATGAATTTCTAGGTTCAAGTTCGAGATCATGGTTATCTCCGGGGTGAAAAACTAGTACAGGAGCTAAACATAGAAAAGCTTAACACTCTAGTGGCTGCAAGTATTGATTCAAAATATTCTTAAATTTTCCAGGAAGTTAGTTTTGATGATTTTCTAGGTCAAGTTTTGAAGATGGGTATCTCAGGTCAAAAATAGGTACAGGAGTTAAAAAAATAGAAAAAGCTTTTTACACCTCTTAGTGGCTGCTTTTTTGATTCAAATATTCTGAAATTTTCAAAGAATGTTGTTTTGATTTTCTGGGTCAATTACCTAAGAAGACTGGTCATGTGCTGGTCAAAAACTAGGTCACAGAGCTAAAAATGAAAAAAATTTTAACACTCTAGTGCTGCCCAGTTTTGATCCAAGATTTCCTGGAAAATTGGTCAGGAAGGTTGTTTTTGATGATTTTAGGTTCAGGTGGTTTTGAATATGGGGGTTGTGTCCAGTCAAAAATTAGGTCACATTGCCAATCCCACAAATATGGAAAAATCTTACAACACACTATAGGTCACATGTTTGACTCAGTCGCCATCGAAACTTTGTCAGATGCTTTTTAAACATTGCTTGGGATGCGGTTTGTAGAGTGATGCGAACCAGGGCCATCATGGCCCTCTTGTTTACCTTTTATTATTTATGTTGAAGTTTATTATTATTATGAACCTGAATGAAATGTATTCTGCCTGTTAAATGGCTACATGTCTAAAAAACATATGTGAAACAAAGTTAATCTGTAACAACTAAAAAGAAGAATGGAAAATTTATATTTATTATTGACTTCTAAATATTTTTAAAATTATTGAGCAACCACTTTACCAGAAATTTTTAAATTTATCATGAATTTTTTCACTTATTTTGCCTGGCAGAAACTATTCCAGTCTTTAAGGTCTTTT